GGAGATAAAAATAACAAACAATTAAGCGTGACTCAGTCAACCTTTTTTAGAAGGTATCGTTGTCGCAAAAAACTTCTACTGAATACTGCAAGTAGTCTTTGTTTCAAATACTATACTAAAGTGAGAATTCTTACGGATACAAAAAATTAAAGAAAAAATTCCTTTGAAAATATCAATTTCTTTCGAAAATCAAGGGAAGGGAATAATCTTGCTCCTCGAATCGAACCAATAGTAAATACCAATACAATAGATCAAAAAACAATAATACGTTGCTTTCACTTCTGCAAAATGCGTACTGAGAATAGTGAATATATAACATTAAGTTTCTGCGTTCCTAAAAGGAGGACTACACTTAAAAGAAAAGGAACCTGTGGGAGATTAGGAGAAAAACATTTGATTGATTTTTAACGTTTGATCTCAAATCGAATGCACACAGCAAACCAATAGAATTGTAAGTTTACAAGAATTAGTTTAAAAAAGTGCAAAGAGGATGGTGGCTGAAATTTAAGTAAGAAAATCTGGGCTAATAAAGGCATGTAAAATCTTGATTAGACAGGATTAGACGATAAGAAATGCTGAAATGTTTGTCTGCTCACTGATCAAAAATGCGCTATTTGTGAGTGATAGGTTTTATTAACGTGAGAAAGTAACCATCATTGGTAGGCACCATGTTGGAAAAGCCATACAAAAGTCAAATTGAAAGAACTCTTCTTAATAGAGCTTAGACGAAAATAATATGGTAAAAATTTTGAATCAACATGGCGGGAGGAAGACATCGAGGGAGAGCAAAAACATGCACAACCGCTTTTCATTTAAAACAGTATCTAGCTACTTAATCGCATACTATCACTATTAAAAGGAAAAAGAATGCGACCTGCGTAAACAAGTGTAAGTGGATCAAGACGTCTTTTGATTAGCATGAAAAACTGAGGAGAACTAGAGTGGCTTTGTGGACTACGAATTTGAAACGGTATAAAAGCAATGGAACTGAGCTCAATGCACATAACAACTCATCTCATCACAATAATGCAAACAGCTCCTCTTGTATTTGGACTTTCTCTACTAATCGCGGTGTACGCAGAGGTAAGATTTTAGATGTAAGACTGACTTTTGGCATTTCATATTGGTAGTTCAATTTGCTTTATTGCTCTAAATTATCCACTTTTTTTCATTGAAAATGGTAATTTAATTGTAGACATCCTTGACTCGAGAGAAACGATGCCCATGCTCAGCGTCAACTCCGCCATCCTGTACCTGTGGAATAGGTCCCACTCCGTCTTGCTCGTGCAAAGCAGTTATCCCTACACCTCCCTGTTCATGTGGACTCCACACCCAAATGACCCATTGCAAAGCTTATTGTCAAAAAATCTGTCAGCCTGCATGCGTTAGAAGCTGGATCCCCTTGACGTGTCCCTCCTTCTGTAATAACCTCTGCACACATTCCTGTATGCCAAAACAAATGTTCGCACCTGTAAAAACACTCACTACATCAGTAATATTACCCTATCAATGTCCTATGGTGTGCCAGAAGTCGTGTAAAAGGATGTGCGCCGCGCAACTTGCCCCCAAGATTTGCATGTTCATGTGTCAAAAACCCTGCATTCAAAAATGTGTTATGGCCTCGCCTGTCCCACGCGAATTTGAGTTGATGTCCGAACCAGCCTATCCAGTATCACCATTTGCTGATGAGATGTTTACTCCGCAAACACGGCTAGGATGTATGCCCTCTGGATGTATGATGGATAGCGCTGTTCCACCAATGATTGACCCCTGAGATATGAATGCAGAACGCAACGTCATAGCTTTTATTCTCATGTTCAGGTTGGTTTAATTCCTTGTGAAAATCGAGTGCAA